TGGTATCCGTCGATGGAGGGCACATCCCGAAATCACACTTGACCATTTTCATCGCCAACACCTGGCAACCCTGGCAGTTACGGCGGTTTGAAGATTTAATGCCCACTATTCACGTTTTGGACTCTAGCGCAGTCATTATCGCCGCTAGGAAAATAATAGAAACTGCATTGGATGCGCCAATAGATGGGCTACATAGGTCTGAGGTTGAAATTTCAAAATTCAAGATGGCGGCTTAAACAGCGACCATTTTATCTAGAAAATTGATCATTTTTCATGACTTTCACTTTATAGAGCTGGCGTTTTTGGTAACATTTTTAAGAATACTTCTAACAAAAAATATATACTCAGCTGAAGTGTTGCCAGATGAAAAAAATCCGGAAAATTGTTTTCTTTTATACTGTTATTTATAGGAAATTTTCTATTGAGTAATAAAAGACTACAAGTCTATCTATACAACATATATTTTAAGTTTTTCTTGCGTTTTCAACTGAATATTTCTTTTTATATTGCGTATAAACTGGCAACCCTTTTTTTATGTAGATAGAACTTACTAACTTTTTGTAGGCAATTTTATACTGTAAACCCAACATAACAAGAGGCGGACTTAAAACCTCAATATCTGTATTAACTAAATATTAACTTACTATTGAATAAGAATATATGTTCGATTGTTTTTTAATACTATACAGTAATTTACTTATAAATAACAATGAGAGACTAAAAGACAAAAAATATTTTAAGTATCTGTACAAAATTTATTTTAAGTTTTGCTTGCGTTTTTCAACTGAATATTTCTTTTTCTATTGAGTGTCAACTGGCAACACTTTTTCTTTGATGTATGGTGCTTTGTGTCCTTTAACACCTTTTATTTGAAGATAGAACTTACTGACCTTTTCTACGCTATTTAAAACTGTAAACCCGACATAACACGAGGCGGACTTGAAACCCCACCGCTCCGATTCCACCAGCTACTCGTTACCTCCCCGGGCTGCTCGCAGCCCGGGGCAACCAAGCGAAGGCTAGTCTATAATATATAAAGCTTAATTACCACTGACTGACTCACTCACTCACTCCATGCTTTTTTCGGGTAGAAGGAGGGGGAAAATGACATTTTCATGTATGGAGACTGATAATATTTTTTTAAAATGAGTTGAAATGGCATATCGGTACAGCCAAAAAACAAAATGGCGGCGAGATAATTTTTTTAGTTTCTACATTATTCACTCTACGGTTACGATATTCAAAATGGTCGTAGATTTGGCTAAAAAAATGACACTGGAAAAAGGTTTGATTAAAAAAACAAAATGGCGGCCGAGATATTTAACCTGGAAATTTGGCATTTTTCGACCTCTGTTCGGGCAATCGTCAATTGTTTTTTTGTGAGTGCGGAGGGGGGATTTTTGCTCCTTCAGCTCGGAAGTATAGTCGATTTTCACGTAGGGGGAGTTTTCGCTTGCGTGTCAATATGGCGGCGGCGGGGGCGTCCATTTTGTTTCGGCAATGAAAAATCGCCATTTTCCAGTGAGATTTTCTCCAAGATGGCGGCGTCGGACGGATTCGCGTTCTATGGGCCGGTCGTGGGGCTCGGTGGGCTCTTTCCTACTTCACTACGATTTCTACCATTTTCGTGGTAGTTTAGGAGATTTTGGGAGAAAAGTGAAATTTCGAAATACGCACTTTTCGCGGAAAACAGACTCGATGCGGTGTGGCGCCGGGGAGCCCTATGACTTTTAGTAGTTTTCGTTTCCGCGAGCTGACAACCCTGGGCTCCACGGTAGAAAACGTGTTTTTCGACATGCCCTCATAACCCGAATTGTTTGGGAACCTGGGTGGCCAGCGGAGAAAATCTGTGAATGAGGTCCCTTGCCAAATATAGTCGTGACTATGGGAAAATTATGAAACTCGGGAAAATCAATATGGCGGCGCCGGCAGCGGCCATTTTGTGATTTTTTCACTTTTTCGAAAAATTCAAACGCACTTTTAGCCTACATGGCAACATCGGAGCTCTTCGCCTGGTATGGACTGGTCGTGAGTCTCCGCGGCTCTTTCGAATGACGTGAAATTTTTCCCCGATTTTAGGGTAATTTCGGAGATTTACCCCAAAAAGGTGAAAAGTAGAAGGAGCCGTTTGGGAATTTCAAAAATGCATTTCCTCGACGGAGGGCACTCCCCGAAATGACATTTGACCATTTTCATCGTCGTCACCTGGCAACCCTGGTGGTTGCGGCGATTTGAAAAATTTCGCCCATTTTTTACTTTGTCGACTCTAGCGCGGTCAGTATTGCCACTAGGAAAATGGTAAAAACTGCATCGGATGCGCTATCGAGTTGGCCACACCGGTACGGAGCCGGATTTTCAAAATTCAAGATGGCGGCCAAACCAGCGGCCATTTTATCCGAAAAATTGGGTATCGTCACCACGTCGAGCCGATTTTGACGCACTTGCGCGACATTTGTCAGACTACTTCCGGGGAAACAATTTTTAGGCAAGTAACTAAAGTGTTGCCAGGTGAAAAAAAATCTCGAAAATTTTTGATACTTTATGAGATTTTTGAGGAAACAATTTTTGTCGAATTTTTGAATTTTTTTGATGCAAATATTTTAATTTTAACTTTTCAAGATACCCGATGGAAAAAATAGAACGATCGACTGGCAACACTGAGAGCAAACAACGTTTGAAATTCAACCTCGATTTTGACCGACTTGGCAACCCCGCAGGTATTTGGCATGTATGGAGCGATTGTGTATCTCTATAGACTCTTTCATATGGTGGAAAAAAATTACCCGATTTTAGGGTAGTTTTTGAGATTTACCCCAAAAACTGTAACTGTCAAAGGAACACTTTTAGAACTTGAAAATTGGTATCCGTCGATGGAGGGCGCATCCCGAAATCACATTTGACTATTTTCATCGCCTACACCTGGCAACCCTGGCAGCTACGGCGGTTTGAAGATTTAATGCCCACTATTCACGTTTTGGACTCTAGCGCAGTCATTATCGCCGCTAGGAAAATAATAAAAACTGCGTTGGATGCGCCAATAGATGGGCTACATAGGTCTGAGGTTGAAATTTCAAAATTCAAGATGGCGGCTTAAACAGCGACCATTTTATCTAGAAAATTGATCATTTTTCATGACTTTCACTTTATAGAGCTGATTTTGGCGTTTTTGGTAACATTTTTCCGAATACTTTTAACAAAAAATATGTACTCAGCTGAAGTGTTGCCAGATGAAAAAAATCCGGAAAATTGTTTTTTTGATACTGTTATTTATAGGAAATTTTCTATTGAGTAATAAAAGACTACAAGTCTATCTATACAACATTTATTTTAAGTTTTTCTTGCGTTTTCAACTGAATATTTCTTTTTATATTGCGTATAAACTGGCAACCCTTTTTTTATGTAGATAGAACTTACTAACTTTTTCTAGGCAATTTTATACTGTAAACCCAACATAACAAGAGGCGGACTTAAAACCTCAATATCTCTATTAACTAAATATTAACTTACTATTGAATAAGAATATATATTCGATTATTTTTTAATACTTTACAGTAATTTACTTATAAATAAGAATGAGAGAATAAAAGACAAAAAATATTTTAAGTATCTGTACAAAATTTATTTTAAGTTTTGCTTGCGTTTTTCAACTGAATATTTCTTTTTCTATTGAGTGTCAACTGGCAACACTTTTTCTTTGATGTATGGTGCTTTGTGTCCTTTAACACCTTTTATTTGAAGATAGAACTTACTGACCTTTTCTACGCAATTTCAAACTGTAAACCCGACATAACACGAGGCGGACTTGAAACCCCACCGCCCCGATTCCACCAGCTACTCGTTACCTCCCCGGGCTGCTCGCAGCCCGGGGCAACCAAGCGAAGGCTAGTCTATAATATAAAGCTTAATTACCACTGACTGACTCACTGACTCACTCACTCCATGCTTTTTTCGGGTACCTTTATTTTTATAACTAACGACTATTCCTATTTCTACAAAAAAATGTGACAAAACTATGATAAACTATTAATATTGAACTTTTTAATTTGAGAATATTCCAAGTTCAGTAGCTAAAAGCCCGGAGGATGATTATTATGGAGGATCTCAGAAATCAACGAAGGTACCACAACACTCAGATCTGAAATAATACAAAAAAAACGATTTCTACATTGACTGGGAATCAAACCCGGGCTCTTAGAGATAGTGACACTACGAAACCAAAGCGGGGTACAAACCGCTCGGCTATGGAGGTTACCGATATACTATTGCAATGTAGTAAACATCATATCAGCTCAAAGACGCTCATGTAGTCAAAGGATTTACAAATTTCCACGTCGATGGTCTCGCGCAGTCTTCATCCAGGGCTTCCCAGCGACCCCGACTAGATCGACTTATGGAAAGCCTGCCGATGCTCCGCCTTCAGTAGGTATCGCCTCTCGAGGGCTTTTCTGCCTGAACAACTATCTGACCTACAAGTTATATACCCAGCCCATTGTCACTTCAGGGGTGCGATCACATTACTCTAGCCATATGATACGACATCTTAGCAATTATCAATATATTTATTAACTATATTTGATTGCGTTTGGGAAAAATCATAATTTGGGTTATAGCCAGGACTTAGGCCACATAACACAGAAAAAAAATTTGTTGGTCGCTCGACAGACTCGCAATCATTTGGGTTAGGTCGGTCTGTTTGACTTATCTGAGCATCTCCACATTTCTAATTCGTCTCTGATGGATGACGCAGAGAATTTCAGAGCAAAATTAACGACTACGTCTCATCTCAATGCAATATGTATCACGGGCAACACATATTTTTGTGACACAAAATGTCAGAAAAGTAAACTAATAATACCCATATCATTCAGTATAGTAATATGGTGTATGGCTAGTGAACGGGAAAATATTCTGTATTTTAACGTAAATGGGACGTTATTCTTATAAATATTACATAGATTTAATAGATCCCTTTGCTTTTAACATATAAAAACACATTGAAAACAGCTGATTGTCAAATATATGTCAAAATAACAAAAAAAAACAGGTCGTTTGGGGCGATGAAACTTTTTTAAATATTTATTGTGATTTGGAAGAATTGGCATATTTTCCTGACATAAATCTCAGTCAATAAAATGCCTATCACTGAGTATATAGCTTCATTATCAGATAACCCTTATTTTGGTGCTGGTTTTGGTTTATTCGGCCTCGGAGCTGGAGCTGCTATATTACGCAAAGGATTTCAGACATCTATGCTTCTATTTAGAAGACATTGCATGATAACACTAGAAGTACCATGTAGAGACAAATCATATCAATGGCTGCTACAGTGGATAACTCAAAAAGGTGCCAGACAGACACAACATTTGAGTGTAGAAACATCTTTCTTACAAAAAGATACGGGCCAAATAAAAACAAAGTATGACTTCATACCAAGTGTAGGTCAACACTTTTTCAGGTAATAAATTCAGAATTACCAAAATCACTTAGGAGTTAAAATAAACTGTCCCTTTTAAAAATAATATTATGTTATTGATTGCGTTCAGGTAAACTTATCTTCAGGGAAAAATACTAATAATTAGCTAATTTGAAGTTTAATTCTATCAAAACTATATCTCTAAACAATAAAAGCTAATACTGCTGGCATACCCTCAATTGTAGGTGACCAGGCCTGGATTATAAAAGATTCTGGGTTGAAATGGTATTAGTATATCTAGGAAGATAAGCCTTGCAAAGAGCAAGGGTATATGTAAGAATTGAGAAAGATAAAAATTATTTTCTTAAGAGAGTTCATGTATGCCTAATGTATTTTATTTATACTTGTTATAGTATAGTAACAACATATATTCAGAATGTCTTACAAATATGATTAGAGGTTATTAAAAATATTTCTTTGAGATCTATTACATATCAATGTGATTTACATAATGGAATATTTAAGACTACCATTGCTGAAGCTGAAAAGATGACTCAACAATGCTTACAAAAGCTAGTTGGAAATTTTATTTACTTTAATAAATGCTGCTTTTTTTATAAATGCTGTAACTTCTAGATTATAACTCAGATATTAATAGTCAATGAATATCTAAGTAATAATGTAGAAGTCTGCAATTAATGGTTTTAGAGATAGACTGCTATGTCAAACTGCTGTAAGTCAACCAGAAACTCTCCCTACAAATATAAGCCAATAATTGACATCACATGCTATGGTAATGGTAGCAAAAAACTTATAGGGTCTTGGCAATTCTTGTAATATCTTTGTTATTTATGTTAATAGCTGTAATAATGAAAATTGTTACATTTTAAATAAGTTAAAATCACTTGTATTTTCTGAACATATAACAGAAACCTGTATTTTCACTTGTTAAACATAACTCTATTATTTTAAGTAATTGCATCCATTAATTTCAGATATGGTGGGACTTGGATAAGAGTTGACCGAACAAGGGAACAACAGACCTTAGATCTGCATATGGGTATACCATGGGAGACCGTCACATTAACTTCATTTGGCCGTAACAAGCAACTTTATTATGATATTCTTGAAGAAGGTACCTGACAAAATATTATTACACATGAATGAAGATCAACATTTATTTTATAATTTTCGCATTCTTAGTGCTCTATTGATAAAAGAAATATGTCTAGAGAAGTATATAGATATTTCAACATTGAATATTTTCCTTCTAAGAAAAATAAAAATCAGCCAACCTCTTATTTGATTTAATTGGTATTATTATAAGAAAAAATTAAGATGTATACGGATTTTTTAATTTTCCCTTAAACAATTTTTGAGAGCTTTTGTTTTGTAGGCAATATTGTTTTCTTTTTTAGATTTTAAACATCTTTTAAGATTTTTACTATATATCGCTCACTGAATAGTACAGTGGCACAACTCAAAAACCATTATTTCAAGAAAACGCCACAACATTGTGGTGGCATCCCATAGATAATTAAAAAAAAAAATAAAAACTTAACAGTAATAATATAATACAAACGATTTAACTGTTATGCTAAAAAAATGATTTTCATAATTAAAAATATATTAAATTTTCATAACTTCGGAGAGCGTTCCTCGAAATTATGGTTTTTGAGTTGTGCCACTGTACTATTCAGTGAGCGATATACTCCCTTATAAGGATTAGATAAAATAAGACATAGTCAATCCCCCTACTACTCTTTTTTGATAATCCAGGGCAAAAGCACTTTAAGCTTTAAACCAGGGCTCACCGATTCCGCACCTTGAAAAGGACAGGCATAAGTGGCGTCGGCCTACCAAATCATCCCACGTAATAAATGGAAAACTCCTTGCTATAAAATAAAAAACCAAAATAACCAAATAATTAGTATAACTTTTATGTTACAGCTAGGACAATGGCTTTAAAACAGCATGAAGGGATGACAGTAATGTACACAGCGATGGGTTCTGAATGGCGTCCATTCGGGCATCCCCGACGAAGACGTCCATTACACAGTGTTGTTCTCCGTGCTGGTTTAGCCGACAAAATATTAGCAGATTGCTTAGATTTCATAAACAATCCTCAGTGGTATACTGATCGCGGCATCCCATATCGTAGAGGTATGCTGTTTTTATAATGACAATTTCATAAAATAGCTCTGTGAGTCCAGTCTACTCCGCCATCTTATCATAATTCTGCCACGTTGGTGCATATCTTAATAATGACTTATAGTGAATATTATTTACGGTAAAGATAGCTTATTCACGTTGGAATACTATCAAACGCCAACTTGTATGCCAATATTGGCCAATCCCAATCACCACAATGTCGGTTATGTACAGAGCGGTATAAGGATACGTCGTCTATCGTCAGTTACAGAATATCAGAATCAGTCCTGCGATTCTGTAAATCCCGAATTCGAAGTCACTCAGGTACCCGAATTCAATTCAAAAGCGGCATCCGCTCAACCTTATATTGGCAATAAAGTTTCGTGGCATATGTGAAGTGAGTTTCAAAATGACATAGAAACAGAATATTTTGAGACACGTATGAATCAATCGATCTTGTTTTGTATTATTATACATAAATTGAATCAATAGAATTTCTGATACGAAGTGACGTGAATTCGGATTCGGATTTTTACAGAAATGCTCTGCTGAACTGACCATTTTAGGATATAACATATCTTACACATTCGACAGAAAATCCGTCCCGTACTAAGGCATAGGTACTTCCGTCAGACGCCCGACTTATCTTTAGTCAGAATCACGCTGACCTTTTAAAGCAATCATAAAAAAAAAATGACACCTATTTCGCTCTCATTTCTTCTTCTCTTTATTAACAGTAAAACCTAAACACTTGTTTTTGTAATACTGATTGGTGTTTTACAGGTTACTTGCTATATGGTCCTCCAGGGTGTGGAAAGTCATCGTTTATCATGGCACTAGCAGGTCAATTAGAATACAATATTTGTGTTCTAAATCTATCAGAAAGGGGTCTCACTGATGACAGACTTAATCACTTACTAAGGTTTTATACTCAAGTACTTACATAATTATATTATTTACCAAAGCTTTTCTAGATAAAGTGATATAACATTAGTACCACTAACTATAAATATGAAAGTAATTTGCTAGCTTTTTTTTATTAATAATTTAATAATAAAGAATATACAAAAATTTCTGAGATCTGAGCATTAAAAATCTTGATTAGATGTCAATAGCATAAGGTAATTGACGTTCGTAAAGGCCGGTCATAGATGGGACGGCTACTAAAAATGAAATTATATCAAACTCCTTCATACTTCGGCAAGCACGTTAAGCTGTTGGTCCTGGTTGCATCTGCAATCGTTAACACCCACTAATCCGCAGTGGGCTCGCGTGTCATGGTCAAATCTGAAACAAAACAGAAATCATAACACGCAGACACGAAAAAATATAGAAAAGTTCATTTTCTACATTGATCCGACAGGGAATCGAACTCGGGACCTCAGAAAGAGCGACGCCTTAAGGCGAAATTATCACTTTAAACCAATTCTATTCTAAGGCTATGCTAATATTTGGCCAAATAAAAATGATAAAAAAATCTAAAAAAAAAGAAATTATAACGGCATTTGCTATGCGTATTTGTATTGGAACGAAAACCAGTGAGTGAACCACTGGGCCACGTAGATCCTCATTTAATTATACATATATAGTTGATACAATATTGTTGTAGTGTCGCACCGCAACAATCAATAATACTGTTGGAGGATATTGACGCTGCATTCTTGTCCCGCGAAGATACGCCAACGCAGAAAGCCGCTTATGAGGGCCTTAATCGGGTTACATTTAGTGGACTGCTCAACTGTTTGGATGGTGTAGCATCGACAGAAGCTCGCATAGTATTTATGACAACCAATTATTTAGAAAGGTATTATTATAAATTAATTTAATAGAGTTAACAAATATTTTCCAATTACCCTAAAAAAACATTTTTTTAACTTTGTATGTAAAATGTAATTGAGAACTTTAATCCTATATTATTAGCTTGAAAACATATTATGCCTAAATAGCTTATTCTCATAAACCATCCATAAAAGGGTTGATTAATGATGATCATTAACTCTTTTGATGAACGCCATTTGTCTCTTTTACTTAGCAATAAATAGATAAATAACATTGTATTTCAGATTGGATCCAGCTCTAATAAGACCAGGACGTGTAGATATGAAGGAGTACGTAGGATACTGTGACCAAGAACAAATAGAGCTAATGTTCTTAAGGTTCTACAAAGGGGAGCAAGCATCGGATCATGCACGTACTTTTGCGAGAATGTGAGTTTTGAGCTGTTGCGATAGTTTTAAAACTAATACTTTAGCCACCGTTAGCCTGGCAGCTCTAGGAAATTTGAAATGAATTATTTGCCTATCTAGTCTCTAATTGTACGTCCGTTACGAAATAGGGACAAGCAAGTTACGTCATTTCGAAGATCAACGATAGTCTGACGTTCGTCAGTCCAGCACCGCCATTATAACTCTGAATTTATAAAGAATATGAGAAAAATTTCCTAGTGGTAAAATCATAGCAAACACACTGATAGATTCAAATAAATAAAAGGTTACACATTAGACCGCCGCGTCGTTTAGATGTGCGACGTACCGGAGGATAAACAATTTCGTATTAGTTGTAAGGCAGAAAGGAATCTGTCTTATAACTGTTATGACTCTTGAAATATAAATCAAAAACGCAACTAAGAAAATAACCCATTAGTACACACTAGTCGATCATAATAAGCCTTCATTTAATTCAATAAATATTATCTCCAGGGTACTAGAGAAGAAGAAGACAGTAAGTCCAGCACAAATTCAAGGCTACTTCATGTTCCACAAGCATTCGCCGCCAGAAGAAGTAGTAAAAGATGTAGAAACTATATGGACATTAGGATAACAGCTGTGATATTATAAATATAGATTAGGAGAAATAAAAAAATATACGTATATGAAAAATAACGGGTTTATTTTAAATACGTACGTACATACTTAATTAAAAGAATACTATTTTCAAGTTTAACATTAACTCTTTAAATTTTTCAATAAACAAAATGTTGAGTTAGTAGTTTAATGAACTTCTAAAACATATATTTATAATAACTTTCAGTAACAAAATTATGTACACACATGCGATTCAATTACGTCAATCATATCGATACGTATTATTCAGGCACATTGCCCAACAATAGCCACTTAATTTGTTTGACAGTGATATCTTACAATAAAAGTTATTTACATATTTATGAAACAATTATAAAAGCGAGGTGTTACCATAGAAATTATCGAAAGGGGCCGTCCATAAATTACGTCACACAAAAGTCATGATTTTTACCCCCCACCCCCCACCCCTCTTGTCACATGTTTATCTATACAAATTCTATTAACTATTGTTCTAATGTCACAGTTCGTCGACATCCTAACGTGTGACGTAATTTATGGATGGCCCCAAATTAGGTGTCAACCGCGTATGATGTAGCTTCACGTAGCTGAAAATAAAATTAAAATCAGGCCATTAGTTTCGGAGCCTATTAAATGTGAGCAAACCAACAGTCGAATTGTTCCTCTCTATACTATTAGTAACTTAATAGCGAAATGTTCTGCCAAATAACAAAAAATGAATAAACTAACCAAAAAATTTCGTATTTTGTTATGAATTTGGTATTTTAAAATCAAAATTAGGTATATCAAAATAATATTTTTAAAAAGAACAATTTGACGTCGGTTTTATTTTTGTAATATTTTTAGGGTTGGCTTTCCTACCGAGTACAGTTCCAATCTGAAGAGTTATGTTCTTGAGATTGTTTTAGGTTTAAGGTACATGCATACTAATCTTTTTCATTCAACATTAAAAAAGAAAATAGTTGTTTATGTGAATGTTTTTTACCAGTAACGTTTAAATGTATCTATCTTAAATATTTACAACTGTGAGAAAAAGGAAAAAATAATAAGCAATCACATATGAAAATAATTAATAATGGTTTGAATGTACCTATCTACCTAAAATATTTACAAAGATAAGAAAGTTCAAAGCCGATATATAAAAAGACTTAAAAAAAATATTTTACCATTACATTTACAAAACGAGACTTAGCTAAAATATCTAACATAATAAATGTACTAGACCTTAAAATGTGTATTTCATATAAATTCCGTAAATTGCTAATGCGCTGGAACCCTGTCTAAATAAAATCCGCGTGACGTAATTTTAAAATAGAAAATATAACACAAAATGCAAGAGATAAAATTTTTGACAATTTAATGTATTAATTTTTGGTAAAGATCAATTTATATTGATTTACATTAAAATTTACTTTGTAATAACGCGAAAACAAACTCGAAGAACATTTTTTCTTAAAAACAGCTTAAAGTAATAATAAAATAAGAGACATGCATATTTTTGGTGAAATAAAGTTTAATTGGGAAATAAAGTTTGTGAAAATCATAATAGCTGTTGCTATTTTTTTCATCATCATCATCATCAGCTCTTTTAAGTCCCCACTGCAGGGGCTCAGGCCTTCCTTATGGATGGTTAAGGAGGATGGACCAAAACCCTCCACGCTGACCCAATGCGGATTGAAGGGTATTAACGACTGCAAATGCAGCCGGGACCAACGGCTTAACGTGCCTTCCGAAGCACAGAGTAGCTAGGGATAATAATTTTTTGGTCACCCATCCCGTGACCGACCCTTGCGAAGTTGCTTAACGACAACGATCGCGGGCCGCGGCGCTTATCCACTACGCCACCGAGCTACTCGTTGCTATTTTAGTCAACCATAACAAGTAACAACAAAACTTTACAATAACAATTAAAACAGTATGTGATCTCAACACAACCCAACTAAATAACTGTACTCGTCAACCAGTGTTTATTTGTAAACGGTACTGATTGTTGAAGGCAAATACGTCACTAAAACGGCGGCCAGGCGCATTAGCAAATTGCGGGGATCATACAATAAACCCTTATGACAATAAAAAATCCGTGAATGCAAGGAAAAATGCCATATCCCTTTTTGTTTCAATCTATGTTGCTAAGATGTTTACTGGGGCGTTACCATGACCTCTTATAGCAATGTTTAATCCGCGCAATGAAAGGGACACCGCTATACGGAACGATAGCGATGTCCTGCTCGCTACAGAAATAGGGAATATGCACATTTTTTGAAAATATTTTCATATGTTAATTTACATCGTTATATAACTGTAAAAAAAATACCCGACACTGAAAAACTAAAATTTAGTAACAATATATACAAATATTATTATTCAACTACCCGAATCGATTAAAATCTAATTGATTTTTTAAAAGTATAATACACTTTTTTAATATCGTATAGTTCACCAAATTGGAGAAAAAAATATAAGCCTAAAATAATCTAAATTGTTATATGTTACTTATTTTGCGACATGATATGTTGATGTTATTGCATCAATGTTAAATTTTTATAACAACATCCCTTTACGTGTACATCTTTGTCACATCGCTCTGACAAGTAGCTTGGCGTTTGCATATTTTGAAGCTACCGCATTTTTCTGCACTTTTTAATAATTAGTTTCAAGATGAAAGAACTAATGCTAAAAATATTTACATAGGCTTTATTCTGAAGCAAAAATGATGTTTTGATTCAGACGCTTATTCCCTATTAAACATTGCTATAAGAGCTCATGGTTAGACCCCTAATTACGCACATGAATAGCTGAAAGTAAAATCCGTGTAGAATTGTTAGTGGTTTAAACAAAACAGACTCGGAAGTTTTTTAAATAATAAAACACTGCCATATAAGGACTCGCTATAAAAGTATATAATAAGACAACAATAACGCCATCTAGGGCTCTGTTACAAAATAAATAGGCATTTATAACTGGTCTGATAGAGACAGATATATTTTTGCCAATACAATGTCACAACGATGGGATTCAATAGCTCTATTTTCAGTTTCAGGTACCCAAATTACATAATTTCGCCTTTACATATTGTAAACATATGATTTTATGAGTCAGAAACTGAATATCTAACCTTATTTAAAGGAAGTTTTATTTTTTGTCGATTTTCATAATACGAGTAGTTTCAATACCTTACTATCTTGGTTTGACAATTGGCTACTTGATATTTTAAAAGTTTCATATGACAATATTAAATCACTACCAATTTTATTTTTAAAGTATTAAGGAAACCCATATTTCTATTCAATAATTTAAATTGTCCCGCAAAAACAATCACTCGCATGACATTACGAGCCGTGACGTCACATCTCAATAAAACAGCGTATTATGAACTCGCAACAAAGAAAAAAAAATTGACATACATTTTACTTCAATGTGTCGCCATGGCCACCCGCGTTTCGAATCTTGTAATCCACAGATTATAAATTGTAAATCGTAAGTTAATTTTGCAATAATCAAATATACAGTAGAATCTCACAAATTCGGCTTCAATAGACTGATACGTCTAATAATCCAGCATCGCCCAGCGCCCTCGTCTCGCTCGCCATCTTTTAAGATATTTAAACAAGGACTAAAAGTTTCACAAAAGCAAACCTTATTCAAGGATTATTTAAAACCATGTAATTACAGAGTTATGTTACAGTCATAATAAAAAGGCTAGTTGACCACTTTTATAAATAAATAGTTCATTAATATTTTTATTTCAGAAATAATTATAAGCAACAGCATGTCTGCGATTAACAGTTTCGGATATATGGTGCTATATTTGTGGAACGGCTGCTAGTCGGCCGAAAACGTTGCCTACATATTAAAGACACTAAGTGACGTCACACAGGTAGCGAAAAACATATGGGCGACTGAGCAATCTTTGTAATCCCTTTGTTATTTGTGCATTTATGTTTAAAGCTGTCATAATGAAAGTTGTTCATTTAATGCCAAATTCTTTAGCCAATTTCGGTAATATATTATACTCTACTTTTTTAATTTTTCAAATAAGTGTCATAAAATTAATTATGTTAATTATTTATAAGTCAAAATGGTTCATATTTTCCGAAGATATAACAGAAATCTGTATTTTCACTTGTAGGACACACGTCTATTCGAACATTGTAATAATCCAGCACCCTCTGGTTTTTAAATAGTGCCGGTTTAATGAGATTCTACTCCACTTGCAACTATTTTAAAACAAAAATACACATATTAGTTACCATTTCCGACATATTTCATAATTTATTTTTATAATCGTCATGTAGCCAATTATCTTACAATAAATCAATTTTTTTCCGTTTCTTTTACTTAAATAAATAATACCTATTGTTACTGTACTATTGATAATAATAACTGATCAAATAAATAGTTTTACAACACAGGCGAGTGTCAAGTGTAAAGCGAATAGAAACAGCACAAAATGTGATCCATCCATGAAATCAAAAAAAACATATATAAAACTGTGGTAACACCGAAGATAATATTAATGGGATATTATAACAATAAAAAGTATCCTTCGTTTTATAACTGTACACAATTAATAGATTTCAGAAGACATATAAATGTGTTTGTATTTAAGTATACCATCTGGCCTGCCTTTAAAGAATTTTCTAAAATTTTATTTGACACTTCCCCTTGGAACAATTTTATAATTTCCCATTGCCATTTTGCTGAAATTTTTGTCATTGGAATATCAACATTGTTACTATTTTTAATACAAACGCAAAATGAATTTCTTAAACAATATAAAGAGATACATAAGGCAACAGGTTTATCTTTATTTTCTTGTTTAAATTGAACTCTAATTTTTAGAAGGTTAACGTATTCTTGTGAAATATTAACAGTAGGGTCCAACAAAAATATATTATGCAACAGTAACAGATCTTTACAATATTTGAATGGAGAATCTGTTCTTGTATTGGGCAGTTCTACAGTGTTCAATGTGATGTATTCCGGACGTGGAACAGCAGTCTCGGAATTTATTCTACTAACAGCCATGCCTGCGCTTCGTTCTAATGTCGGTAACTGTAGCGATTGAACAGTTTGAATTTGTGGTACAACTTGAAAATAAATATTGCTCATACTTGAATTTTGGGTTGGTGTTACACCGTTTTCAAATCTATTCATAGCCCAAACTCCATTTTGATTTTCGTTTATCTTATTAGGTGGATTCATCAACTCGGACACTGGTTTAACCTTAATCCTAGGAACAGTTTTAATTTGAATCTTTTCCGGTTCTTTGTCTTCTTTTTTAACATTGGACTCTTGGGCTAGTGAAGTGGTAGATGTTATTATTGGCATAACTAAACCGGGATCAGCATTTTGTTCGTCATCCAAACTTATAATAACAGATTGATTTGTAGTTGTGTCAATGACATTTATACTACTAATATTTATTAATTTTGTCTCAACTGCATTAGGAACCTTTTTTGGCAGTTGTTTCGGATTAGCAACTGGATTCTGATTCAAGAGTTTTTTAGAGTTTACATCTGTATCGCAATTTTTATATAACATTGCCGAATCTAAATTTGCTACAGGCGTAATTGTCGATGTACTAAAAGTGTCGGTAGTTGCTGCAGAGATAGAAGACGGAGTTAAAATTGCAGACGGCACTACATTAGAAATGCTTGTGTTATCAGAAATACAAACCGCGTTCAGGGCTCTTATTGTATTTAGGGAGCTTACTGTTTTATCGCTTTCTATTTCAGCTACGGTAATCCATCCATTTTTGTCCATTGTATTATCATTCTCGCTAGCAGATTTTAACTTAGTCATTATTCGAACTAAGTTCTCTCGGGATGCTTTATCTTGATCTTTTGGTAGCCATATCACATCAAGATTTTTGTGTTCCATATATCTCAACAATCCCGTACAATTGAAGTGTCCTTCTTTATGAATATTTTTTCTACCAATACTCAAAATTTTGTGTTTTAATTGAGACTCAAATTCAGTATTTCCAGGTTTAGACGATTCTAACTTCTTCGTGTATTTCAGTCGACAGTTTGTAATTATATTTTCTATTGTTTTAAGTGCATTATACTGTACTGTTATTTCAACAGGTTTTTCCTTATGGTCATGTTTAACCAATTCTGTATTACTTTCATCAGATGAATCATCTATATTAATACACTCTGTTACCTTATTTTCTGGTGTTTTGCTATGAGGCTCTAAAGTTTCACCATCGCAGCTCTCAGATATTTTACTGTCGTCTTCAATAAGAACTGTTTCATTGGAACTTCTTGATATTCTCCTGATTTTTCGTTTATTATTTTTAGTCAAAATGAAGTCTTCATCCGAACTCTCTATACACTCACTCTTCAATTTTTTTTTTGAATATCTATCACGCTTAGTGTATACAATATGAAAAAGCTGATTTCCAGCATCTTGAAAAATTTTTTCTTTGTCATAAACAACAGTATTATTTAAGTCAGTGCTATTATTTTTATTATCCACTCTATTCAGTCTTACCCGACATGGTTTATTGAAAATATGTTTGTATTTACATCTAATATAAGAATGATCATACATATGTTTGAACATTCTATTTCTACTTTTACATGTCTTTGTACAAATATTGCAAATAAATTTTTTGTTGTATAATTTTGTCAATTTTTTTTTCGAGTTTATCAGATGCTTTTTCTTTGGAACAAAAGATTTTTCACTATCCAAAGAACTATTAGACACGATACGAGCTCTCTTTTTATTAGAAGTAATCAGTGTTGTTGTTGATAAAGTTGATAATTTAAAATTTTCATCATTGTCAGATTCTGGGTTATTTGCTTGCTTTGCTTGCGACGGGGGCTGAATTGAAAGTGGATCATCTTTCTGAAAACGAAAATTGAAATTTGAATCTTTTATAAGTCACTTTAAAGACTAAAATTCCATAGCAAAATACTTTAAAAATCGATTGTCTCATGTGCCGAGATGGGATTAATTTAAATTTTCCTACAAACTATCGAGCAAATCAGATATAGCAGATACTCAACATGAGCATGAGACATAAGGATTACCCTCTTTCTAGGTCATGTAATCATAATGATTATTCACAATTTTGATATCAATATTAGAATTCCGATATTGAGAACTAGAGAATGCAATACCGATTGTTGTTTACGGGACTAATCTTGGTCGTAATTTTCTACCCGTTATTATTAAATATTCGAAATACGATAAATTATGTCGAAAGCTGGTTGTAAGAATTTTCTAGTACTGATGTTGTTTAGAAATACTTTTTAAAGCCGGAAGATTAAAGCATTTTTATTTGCTGGACATATAATTTGTAAAGTTAGAAGCCGATTAAAGATTGTGCGTAGTTATTTGCAAACAAATATTTAAAGATCCACCATCGCCTCTCCATTCTACCTCTCACATACATACCCTAAACCAAAATGTTTCAAATGTTTGATCAGGTCAAGAATTCCGATTCCAAATGTACAGTGACACGCATAGGTTCGTTTCGTTTTCAGTACGGATAAAACCTGACGTTCATATGAATGACGCAATCAGATCTCTAAATCTGACTTCCTTGATTCCCATCTAAATATTAGGAAATGAAATATGTTATCAGTTCTATTGGCAAAATAAGGCATATAACTTACTTTTGTCGAGGAGTTGTTAGTTGAATCGAGCTTAGTCCTTGATGAGTGTTCTTCATCAGAATGTCCACTATCCACAGATTTTATGTTATTGTCCTGTTTGTAGAAAAAGAGTTTTCTAATAATTCGAATTAAAAAAAGAATACTAACTTCACTGGGTTCGACGAACTAAAATATTAATTAAAGTATCTATTGAAAATATGTATCAATTATTTATCAAGACGCCAGTCATGTAATAAGTCTAGCTTTAACAGACGGGCACTTTCACACGGAATTAAAATTTTCCATAGTTAAGCCACTTCACAAAAATAGATCAGCGGATGATATGGAAAATTATCGACCTATCAAAATTATTTTAGTAATTTCAAAGAGTGATTGTTAATAAGATCTTGTCTTTTATTACACAAAATTAAGTACTTGAGACTGAGCAATTTAGATTCAGAAAGACTAACACCCGATTTCTGAATTAAAGTTAACCATGTCTCAAACTGTACTTGGATATCACTGAAAAATGTATTCGTTTCTAATTTTAGTTTTTTTGGTGAGAATTTGATAGCAGTTTCATAAAAACTAGGGCTTATGACTTATGAAAAATAAAAACCTAAGTTATTGAGAATAATCAGTTGAGATTTTGTACTTTTCTTTATTCAGAAACCGGCTGTTTCTCTACTGCAGTTAGTTAAATATATATCTAACAATTTAAACATTGGAGCAATGACAATGGCTATATTAAGAGCTTGAAATCGTCATGTTATCAAAGTTCCTTAAGCAAGAAGCAAACAGAGCCTTCAGACACATCGATGCCCAGCGTTGCTTCCAAAAAAAATAGAGGAAACCTGTCATTTCCGGGACGATTCGACGAGCAGCAACACATAACATCGTGCAATTAACCGAGTGTCGCTGCTACTGCTGCCAAGGCGATTACGAGCTACCCAAGTGCCCGAAATTCAACAAAACGAGCTCGCTCGACCGATGGACGTCATCAAGAACGTGAAAATATGCTTTAAGTACATAGCTGCGCGCCACCGACGAACAGCGTGCATAGCAAAGCTGTGCTGCGAGAACAAGTGCCGCCGACCCCATCATCGACTACTACACGCCGAGACCACACCTACGCCCGCATCCACGTCCGTTGACACCACCGAAAAATGTCAAGAAAAGAAGACTGACCGCAACCACAGTCGCCTCAGAAACGAACTCTACGCCAACGGCCCCACGCAGACAATCCATCTGCACAGCATAAATAGCGTCGTGAAAGAAGAAGAAAGCAAGCGAGTGAAACTTCGGATACTAGGAACCGACACCGATTACTTCGACATAGAAACACGAACGATCGACGGAATAGGTATCAGAGGACTTTTGATTTCGAAAGCCGTCCTGAAGTATGCTCGTCTACGCAAACTGAACGCCGAAGAAGTGTTACGAGCGAGCACAACCACGAATCCTTATCGGCGCGAACCACTGGCACCTCCTGGTCTCCTATGAATTACGCGCCGGACGCATCAAGGAAGCTTAGGTTGGATAATAATGGGAACCTAACTCGAGACAGAAAAGATCATAAGATAGTGTCGCATCAAAGAGTGATAGAATATGTGCCGCTTTGCTCGCGCACCAATTAATTCGATGGGGAGCACCTCGATGACATCATTAGAAGCCATTACGATATAAACGCGCTCTGAATATCAATGAAAAATCGAACGATGCCCGAAGATGAACGTGCCGCGGCTATAGTAAAGAAGACATTGCGCAGCGCGAATGGAAGATACGAAGTTGGATTGCCATGGCATACGGACATCACGATGCCGCCCAGCTATGGCAACAGTTTGAAACGACAAAAGGGCATCGAGAGGAAGATGAAACACGGCCTACATAGCTTAATAACCTCTTCAAAAAGAGATACGCGGACGCGAAGGCAACAAACAAGCAAATCCGAAGAGCTGGTACTTACGGCATTTCGCGGTCAAGAAGTCCAAACAAGCCTGGCAAGTTACGCCTCGTCTTCGACGCTGCCGCCGTGACAAGACATGACAGCATCAATCAAGAATTATTGGAAGAAGCGGATCTCCTGAAATCACTACAAGGGATTCTCTTCCGATTCCGAGAGAAACAAATCGGCGAGACAACATTCAAGAAATATTTCTACAGATACAATTACCAAGTCTCCACTTAAAACTAACAGGCTGGGCTCGAACTCCTCAGGAAAAGGTAGATACATTTGCTCAGCACCAGGTAAAAGTCTTTGCTCCCAATACATCAACTAGTCGGCGCGGTGAAAAATCTATCGATGAAATCCTAATACAAGAATTCCAAATGTCACTCCCTCCACGCCCTGTTACAATCAAGTAAATATTAAAACGGCTACCAAAAAAAGCCATTGTGTTTATTAATTCACTTTTTAATGGGATACTAAGAACACAATACTTTCCGCTTGCATGGAAAGTGACCCAAATCATAATGGTACACAAGATGGGTAAACCACCGAATGAAGTATCCTCTTATAGGCCTATTAGTCTTCTTCCAGTATTATCAAAGGTGTTTGTAAAAATATTGTTATACCGCATGCTGCCTATCTTAAACAAAGAGAAAATAATCCCCGATCATCAGTTTGGCTTCGGGCAGGAACATTCTACTACAGAACAGATACATAGAGTCTGCGAGAGGATTAGGAAAAGCATGGAGGAGAAACAATACTGCTCCTCGGTGTTTTTGGACATACAACAAGCATTCGACAAGGTTTGGCACAAGGGCCTTCCTTATAAGCTAAAAATCAATCTTCCTCACAAATACTTCTCCTTATTAAAATCATATCTTTCAGAGAGAATATTTCAAGTGAAAGATATGGACAAAAAATCAAAGTTTTACGATATAAAGGCTGGAGTACCGCAAGGATCTGTTTTGGGACCAATTTTGTACACAATATATACAGCACACATACCGCAAGTTGATGGTATTACAACGGCGACATTTGCCGATGATACCGCAATCTAAGCTAGTAATAGCGATCCAGTCGTGGCGTCAAATATATTACAGAAAGGACTTGAAAAACGACTACTTCAACAAGAAAAGAAAATACTACAATGATACTACGTCCTTTATTAGATCCCACCTACCACTGAGCGTCTAGCTAGTGAAATATGTTTAGTTCAATGTGCGAGAAAGCTATTACTTACATTTCTTGAATTACTGTTTACTGAATCTGGCCTAGACTTTGATGAAAGTTCTTCATTAGAATGTGGACTATCTGGAGATTTTATTTTAGTCACCTATGTAAAGAGAGAAGGTTTTATAATTTAATCATTCTCTTACAATATAAAATACTATTTACAACAATATATAATTCATTTTCGTTTCTCTCAACCTTAAAGTATTTTAGGAATAATTAACATACCTGTTTGACTTTTAGTTTTGTTATTAATGACTCCTGTTTTGCAACAAACTTTTTCTTATTTTCAGAATATTCATCCAAAAGTACCCTGCATTTTTTACATAGAAGTTGGGGAAGTCCATCAAATGGAGTAACCTAAAAGAGAAAGCAAAAATTTCTTGTTAATGGAATTTAATTAAACTGTACTACAATTATAAAATTATAATTTTTTAAAATACACTTTTAGTTGCTTATCTGACAATCAACCTTTGCGAAGATGCTTATCTGACAATCAACCTTCGCAAAGATGCTTCTCTGACAATCAAACTTTGCCTTTGCTTAACAAAAATAAATACGCTTTTTTGGGCAGTAGTGAAAAGTAAATATTTTAACTCAGTTTCTTACATAGGGATGCAGAAAACAATAAGCGCAGACAAGGACAGTAAGGTATTTTTCCCGGATTGAACATACATATTATTCTTAACATTTTAAGTTTAGTCTCCATAATCTTTTTAGAATTATGTTTCTATGAAAATAAATAGTTTTTTGTTGCTGGCACTTTTATACTCAGTAAGTTTTAAATTATCATAGATTAAAAAACTGTTTCAATGTGGGACATAATTTGAGATGCTTAAAAACAATAATATCATATTTGGAGCACAGTGGCATAGCATAGTGGGGGGTCCGCCCCGACGGTACTTTTTATGGGACGGCAAAAATTCACAGTAAACAATAAAATATATTTTTTTAAATATTTGAATCAATTCATATTTTTAACGCAAATATAAATTCGGACCAAATGAAAGAGCACGGAAGTTTTCATTACTTATTCTGTGAGGAATTCGAAGAATACTCTTTCTTTAAATGATATTTTATAGCGAATGGCAACACCATCTATGAGTTACGGGGATTCCCCATATATTATTTTGTGCTTGGATTGTTTATGACTTACAATCAGCAATAATGACTTCTATTAAATATATATTAAGTTCAATATTGTTTATTACGTCCCTTTAAGAATATGAATTGTCAAAGTATGTGATGCTTTGTCAATTCAAAGAAAGTTTTATTCATGGATCTTCAGTTGTTTAGTTACCTTTTTTTATTTAAAATCTTTTTTTTTTTTTTTGAAAGAGATGCCTGCTTTTTAGGATACAAGTTATGTGTTGCAAGGGACAAAGTACACCTAGACTAAGAACAATTATTTGTAAATCACATGAAAAATTGTCCTTTGTAGTGATCGAACCACAAGACTCGATCTGTGGGCAGTTGCATGGCGACAACTAAACCACTCAACCAACTGCGCAGTTTAAACCTAACCTGTATAATGCAAAATAATGATGACAGTTCTTGCTGAAAAATTCTTTAAATTTAATGTATAGCATATAAAATACCTAATTTAGAGGGGCCGCAAAACTGTCTTCCGCCCTGAGTGGCAGACACCCACGCAATGCCACTGTTGGAGCAATCAATGTAATTTTGCTCCTACTGTACTATACATCAAATGTACTACCAGATATTATGTATTACTTTAGTAAAAATATAACTGTAGTAAATATTATTTTATATATTTTAAAAATCAAAATATGTATGTAGTAATTTATAATATACATATATTAAATATTGTACACTAAATACATAAAAATGTATCTGATACTCATTCATTAAATATCAGACAGCATTAACCACACACATTGCTTAGATCTTAATGAGGTAGCTAAGGTATTTGTTTCATGGAATTTAGACACAAAACAAATATCCAGACAATGGTGTCACCCTGAAATCAGCATCCCGTCAAACTTTACTTAATACTTTAATTATTTCAAAAGATTTTCAGTTTCCTCATATGTTAATGCATTTAACTAGGAAGCAACAGTCTTCTTGCAATTTATGTTATTTTTGGAACTACTATGTAACATTTAATTATTTTTATTATATAGACCTTGGTAGCAAAAGAAATTGATGTTTAAAAAAATGAGTTTTACATACAGAGTATTGTTTACAAAGTCTAACAGTTGAGATATTGTTGTTTTTAATATCTATCAATTTATGCTGTTTAGGTATATGTAATGGTAATTCATTAACAATTTTTATAACCATATTTGATTTGTATGTTGTAAAAAATCAAAATTGGTAAAAAGAACTTGCAAATATTTCAGCAGTTATAATAAACATATTGTGGATATGCAATATAATTTTTCATACTAATTATTTACTGATGGTATTACTAGTAAAATATATCTAGTAATAATGGTTTAGCTGAGCATTAAGATAAGCTAAACTAAATGAAGCTTAACTAAAATTTAGTAAATTAATAATAATTTTAGTATTAATAATATTGCTTCAAAAAGTAACAAGTGTTTGAAAAACTTGTCAGTCCCGCTAGGTCCTGGGAAGCTCAATGGTTAGAGCAATCACCCAAATTGCAAAGGGTTGAAGATTCAAGTCCTATCTCAGAGTATCTAGGACTGATGGATATTTAAGCAATTTCATTAAAAAAATAATTTCTAATGATGATTATTAGGAGATGTGATCTTCTAATCATTTATAAATTATTAAAGCTGTTGAAATGTCTACTTTCAGAAATCATGCACTGGATTTACAAGTGAGTTAACAAAGACTATAAAAAAATTATTGTAGCTGTTCAGTGAATGGGTCCACATAGTTTTTACTCATTAAGCCAAAATACAAATCACTTGATTATATTACAACTTAATCACCTTTATACTGATACAGTAACGAGTTGAGTATAGTGCCTATATGTCATGTTAGCAAAGTAAACATTCTGGCAGAAAAATATTATATTTATTTTAATCATAAACACAATTACTTAGTTGATAATATGTAATAATGTAACAAAATACTTGTCAACAAACAAACAAGAGACAAAAAGAAACAATAAAAAAGAAGTCCCCAGTCCCACAGTTCCTAAGGGTCTGAATTCGTATTTTTTATACAATTTTTAAAACTGAGATCTAAAGATCTAACATAATGTACTCACATTTATTTCAAAGCAGTATTTAATCTGTTGTTGCACTGTTGGTACAATTTGATACACTCCCATTTCCTCCAAACACAGGCGACAAGTAATAAACAACTTTGGGTCTACCTCAATCATTTCTATGTGATCTGGAAACGTAGAACAGTAGGAATGTAATTGCCATCATAATGGTCAACTAACACAAAAATCATGACAAGTGGTATTTCGACTACTTAAATCTCCCGCCTGAACATAAATCAGGTATAACGTGTCAATTATTTTCAAAAAATTGGTAATGGCAAGATTCGAACAGGTGAAATCAAAGAAAACAGCCAACACAAATTACCTGCCATTCTATACTGTTCTAACATGTGGTTCTAACTTTGTTTATCACATAAATCTTACGACACTTTTAAGTTGCTAACTTGGCACTTCATTCATCATAATTCAGTTAAAAGATGGATAATTCAAACTCATGAAACTAATAGAACAATATCGTCCTATGCCTCCTACGTCGCCTTACTTGACATTTCCGTAAAAAAGCTTTAGGAATATTTTAATGATTTTTAAATAGCCATCTGTTGTTGAATAGCGGTACCACTATGAAAATAGACGAAATAATTAAACTACCGCCATCTATCGTAGACTAGACGTAACACGCACCCACATTCAAATGCTCTATATTATAGTGGGCGCAAACAGATGGCCTTATATAGAAGTTTTGCAATTTAATAATTTTTTGACGTTTTTATGACAAAATATTCCTAAAGTATATATGCAGGAGCGCATGGTATGATGTCAATAAATCCACTTATCATCACAAATTTTCACGATGCGATGTTGCGATACTGTTACTTAGTTCGTAAGCTCACTACAAGGGTACAAGCACTCGCAACAACTTGCAGTAAACTTTTAAGTTTGTCTATCAATGACTTCGATTTTAAAGTGTTGGTGACTGTGCTATGATAATTCCACCCAGTAATCCAATGAGGAAGTATTAAAAAAAAACGAAAGCACATCCACTAGATGGCGACTCTAGCAAATATTAATTTTTCCAGGAAACGAATGGACCAAAGACAGTCATTTCCATTACTTTTAACTGACATATTAAAAAATTGAAATTTTAAAAGTTCGAAACTTAGATATGAAAACAAATACAAAAAAGTATTTTTGAAAACTAAATTACTTTTAAACAAGAAAGAAAACCGGAAGGACTGTCATGGAAAAATCAAGAACGTACTGTAACGACATCTAGTTTGATTTTGAGAACTAATTCTGTTTTTTAAATACTTCCTCATTTCAGAATGTATGAAATGAAAAACAATAGTTTAAACAACAATCGGTGCACGGGCAAACAAATATATATAAACGTACGGTGCAAGCAAGCAAACGATGTGCGCTTCGCGTCGTGGACAGTTTCACTATTATTCTATGTTAGTCTAATTCTAAATAGTCTCATGCGATCGGGAAGGCGTTTCAATGAGGAAGTATTTAAAAAAACATTAGTTCCTGAAATCAAACAAGATATCGCTACGGTACTTTCTTGATTTCTCCATGACAACCTTTCGGTTTTCTTTTATGATAAAAGTAAATTAGTTTATCCTAAAATGCCTTCTTTTTTAGAACCCAATATCTGTGGGGCAAGACTATTGGAATGGCAAAAGACTGCTAAACCGTCTGTAGTCTTAATTTAATGCAGAATGTTGGGCTTCACGACTCTTAGAAGTCCAGGTGATTTGGTAATCTTAAAGAAGACTTAAAGTGGAAGTACATGGTCATAGCTTTCTGAAAGAACAACCGTCATACTAGCCTATTCTTACACGACAGTAGCCGCAATTGCAGTAAGTCGGTTTGGTTTGAAAATCGGATAACAGATGGAAACGATGACGGAGCCAGTGATAACGGAGTTGATATTAGATACACTGAATCACCAGACGATACCTCATCGCAGTAAAGTAAAGTATGCAGTAGTTAAGAGTAATATTGACGGTGCCGAGTATCTTGATACAACTTTCATTTGAGGCGCTGCGTTCAAAATGGATAAAGAAAAGTCAAGACAAAGAGTTTTACTTGAAAAGACAAGTAAAAAATGCTACAGCACTAAATTTCAAACTAAGACTAAAGATTTCCATAATAAATTGGAACATATCACTGAACAAGAACTCAAATTTGCACCAAAAGAAGAAAATCTAATAATAAGAAACTAGAAGACTTCGAAATTTGCATAATGAAAAAGTTACCTTTCAAGCCTAGTTCGGAATCTAAAACGACAATATCTCTAGAAATTGTTCTTAGTAACATTTGTGGTCCTATAGAAGTCGAAACAACATATTTTATAATTTCCATTGATTATAACATCGAATACAATAGCGTGTACTTCATTAAATATAAAAGTCAAGCTCTGGACAAGTTAAAAGAATTTAAGGTAGAAACGAAATTAAACAGATAAAAAAACAAATGCATTTAGTCTGCTAATGGTATGGAATATTGCAGTATTAAATTTGAAAATTATCTAACATATAATTGTATAGGAAGACTTAAGATACAATATTGACTGCTCCTTGCACACCTCATAAAAACGATTTTACTGAACGCAAAAATAGAATAGAATCTTCTGCAACAGAAACCTAATGGGTAGAAGCAAGATTAGGAGAAAATTACTTATCAGACCAAAGTATCAATGAGATCATTGAAAATACCGCACCATAGAAAATTATGTTAGAAGAAAACTTGCAAATCACTTTCTGATTTTGGAAATACTTAGCAAAATAGGAATAACTATGCTTCAAAAGCTATTCCCAGCTTGTCTGATGGATACTCTGAAGTATCTAATGCGATAGATAGATAGCGATAGTCTGGGGGCTTTCTAAGAACAAAAATTAAATAATAATTGGAGGGTAGTTTGAGCTGCAAAGGTGACAGTATTCCATTTTCTTAAAAGTTATAATGGCATTTAATCAATATTTAGAAAAAACGATTACGGTTTTCGACTCAGCTCTGTGGTTTTGTGCTATCAACGATTGTTGGCATATTTTCCGTGTTATTTGTGACTGTTTTCCTTCTCCCATATCCTGTAGTCCTTGTATAAGTGTTAATTTTAACTTAAATTGGTGGTGGATAAGCAAATTGTTATACGTAAGTATATTTTTTGTTGTGTAAATGTCTGATCCTCCGGACCCTCCTCCAGGGGGTGATAACGAGCCATGTGCTCAATTATCTCCTCCTGTATTCTCGCATATGGAGATTGAAGTAAGTAGTGCAACGTCTAGAAAACGCGTAATTGAAGATCAATTCACTTCATCACCCGCTAAAACCATAATTATTTTCTTTGTCAAATCCTTCAATCCAAACTAATTTTTGTCAATATTCAGTTTGTTAATAATAAAGAAAACTATTCGGACTAAGACTCTGCCCCTTTTGTTGTCCATGTAAGTAAAAAAATCTCGGAACCCAGCTCTGGTACTGTAAGACCATACTGTATAATCTGGTACTGTAAGTATTAAATTTGGACACTTTTTATTTAATAATAAAATTAAAAATATTGTTAGGGACGGTATTAAGCGAATCGGCAGGAACAGAATCTCCGTCGAATTTAAAAACTATGTTGATGCTAATGCTTTCCTTGAACACTCTGCTCTCATTGCTGCTAAGTATGAGGCAATTATTCCCAGCTTCAGCATCACAAGAATGGGTGTGATTCGTCAAGTTCCAGTAGACTGGACCCTGGAGGAATTAGTTGAAGCTTTGGAGATACCTACAGGCCATGGACAAATTATAAAAGCAATGATGACTATGTAGGAAAACCTTTGTTAATAATTCACCGGAATGGGTCCCCACCCAGACAATAATAGTGACATTCTCGGAAAAAAAGTTGCCCTCTAGTGTCTTCTGTTTTTATACATATCCTTCGGTAGAAACCTTTCTCCTCCCAATAATCCAGTGCAATAAATGTTGTAGGTTTGGACATATGCAAACACAGTGCAGATCACAACCACGCTGCTTCATATGTGCAGGTTCTCATGAAAATTTTACCTGTACTAGAGATATACCAACATGTTTATTTTGCTCTAGTCAGCATAAGGCTACAGATCCATCTTGCCCTGAACAATCCCGACAGATACAAAAAAACTTGTTAGGTCACAAGAGAATATCTCTTACACTAAAGCATCTGTTAGGTTTGCACAGGTCAGGAGGTCTTTTGCTGATGCTGCACGGTGTGAACTAAACATCCAATCTACACTCCTCTCCCCTCTCTATTTATCCCCCACTTTAATACCCAATACTCCGCCTACAACCTCTTACCGTAAAACAGTATCATTATCTAGACACCATCCCATTCCTGCTTCTAGTCCAGGTTATAATCATCAGGATCACAGTAGCATCATCAAGAACCCTAGGTCTCAATTATTCAATGGATCTGCTTACCCAAGTGAACCACCTGTACCCAATAATAATTTAATTTCCTTATTACTTTCAACAATTATTTAGTGAACATTTAGTGATATCGGCTTACGGAATACCATCAGAGATCACTTGCATGTACCTAATGGCTTACCCAATGGCTCCAATCGTCCAATGGAACTGTCGCAGTAGTAAAATTAAAATTATTGAACTTCTTTATTTCGTAAATAAATTCTCCCCTATTGTTTTTACCCTGCAGGAAACGATTCTTAAACCTGGTGTAAATTTCCGAATTCAAGGGTTTGCATGTTTCCGGGATGACAGAAGCGATGGATATGCAGGGGCTGCCCTCCTGGTTTCGAGATCGTTAACATTCTCCCTTGTATCACTCCCTTCCCATAGTGACTCTAATCCATTTTATTCTGTGACGTGCCTGACGGTGGTAAAACTCGCCCATCGTTTAACACCGAATGCGTTCGAGCAAAAAAGCGTAAGCATTCAGCGTATCTCGCCTGGATTGATGCTCGACACCACAAAGCTCCTGATATAAAATCCAAGAAGAAAGCCTTTAACCTAGCCGCCAAGTCCTGCAAGAAGGCACTACAGAAAGCTGGTAACGACCGCATAAGACATATCGACGCAAAACTCTCGGCCCAGCTTTCGGGCAGTAGAGAATTTTGGTCACTCGCTAAAGCGGTCAAAGCTAATTTCTGTAAGCCTACGTTGCCTCCGCTGGTAAGACCGGATGGCTCCCCGGCCCACGCGGCAATTGAGAAAGCGGACCTATTCGCATCTGTCTTTGCCGAAAACTCTCGTCCAGACTCTAGCACCAACACTCCGCCACAGATACCTTATTGCGGTACCTCTATGCCTGAGGTCCACATTACTAATAAGGAGGTCCTAAAAACTATGCGACGCCTAGACGTTAACAAAGCTAGTGGGCCTGAAGATATACCGGCTAAAGGTTGTACTAAAGCGCTGCGCGCCCGAGTTGTCTCATGTATTGACACGCTTGTTTCGCCTCTCATTTCAGACTGGGATAGTGCCCAAATCTTGGAAGCTTGCCGATGTGCAGCCTGTGTCGAAAAAAGGAAGCC